AAATTGTAGGATTTAGAAAAACGTCTTGAAGATGTAATGATCTGAAAAGTTAGCACTGAAGACAGAAGCGGAAAAGAACTTTCTGTGGTAAATAATTAAATAGCCGAAGCTTGGTGCGGGCTAGGTGCCTGGCTATAATGCATAAGACGCGGGGTGCGCAGCAAATAAAACCGAGAATGGATCTAAACTTAATCTTTAAGCAGTGATAGCTGTGGAAGACAAGCAAAAGCAAGACGATTTTTTTATTGAAGGGAAGGAAAAAATGATATGAATTTTTCAGAAAAAAAGTGAAGGATAAGAAAATTATTAAAGATAGAATGATAAATCTTTCACCCGTATCTACATCGGAGAATCTCACGCTCAAGTCGCAAGAGAACAGCAACAAGTAATTTATTATGCAACTTCTATGCCTCAACAATTCAATGATAAGGGACAACAATAAAATGACTGATCAACTCTGGATGCAAAAATGACACATGGCACTCATCATCATCTGAATACAAATGGCAACACTGGAAAGAAATGATGCTCCAATCTAAGCTAGGCTGTGAAAAAACACTCCATAAGTTCTTGTCACCCTAATTAATTTTCAAAATTTTTGTAAACCAATTTTTTAATTCCCTTGTTTGTAATTTTTCCTTGTTTTTAACCCTTTCAAAATTATGTAATCTGCCCCATTCAGTAATCTCTCTAAAATTTACTAAAGTCGGAGAATATGGAGTTGAATCGCTAATGCAGAAAATCTTATATGACAAGAAAAAGATTTTTAAACCCAAATGGAGATTGTTAAGCGATGGCATTAAAATATAAAAAGTAATTAATGAAAATACCGTCACGAGAAATAAAAGACGAGAATGGAAAAAATTATAAAATATTTAAAAGTTAAAGTGCCACCCGTTAAATCGGAGAAAATTTAGTTAAAAAAAAGCAGCCTAAACAAATCTCCCGAAATATCAGAACGTGGACGTTCTTTTCGAAGAGGGAAGGAATGCTGCATTCGCTTAATCAAATAAACAATTTGCATTTTCACATGCAAATATAAAGTTGACCTTTTTCTAAATATAAAGGTCTCCCGACGTTATCATCCAATTCTCGTTCCTTATCTTATTTTTGTTATTCACTTTCTGTTTATATTTTGACCCTTAAATTGTCTCTATAAATAACCCAGCCTTTTCCTCATTATTAGAAGATTTGGCCCAACCATTTCTCTCCCTTATTATTGTGCCCATATTTATATGGAGAATAAATTAAATTAAATAGAATAAATATTTAAAGAATGTAATTCAGTCTAATAGAAGTCCCCAGAATAGTAGAACCCGAGAAAAAGCTATAATACAAATATAGCAGGGACCGAGTTCCTATAGCATATTTTTGCATATTTCGGTACTTTCTTGCATATTTGCATATCGATGCATATTTTGGGGAAATTTTGCATATTTTTACCTAAATTTGTGCATATTTTGGCATTTTTTGAGAAATTTTAGTAAAAATTGGGCAAAATTTTCAAAATTTTGGAATTTTTTGAGCAAAAAATTTTTTTTTGAAAATTTGTTGAAAAATTGTTTCGAAAAATTTTTCGCGAAAATTTTTTTTTCAAAAAATTTTTTTGGTTGAATTTTAAGTTAATAAAATCCTTTAGAAGTGCTTTTAACTGCAATTGAAATGCTAAATTTGTATTTTTTACTCGAAATATTGATTTTTAAGACACATTTTTATTATTTTTGCTGCATATTTAGTGCATATTTAGTGCATATTTAGTGCATATTTCGGCAAATTTGGCATATTTTGGTGCATATTTTGGGCTTTTTCGGTGCATATATATGCGCATATTTTGGGATTTTCCGTGCATATTTTGCCACTCCCTAGTAATCAGCAAAGAATGCCCCCTCCCATTCAACATGTAAATATTCCCCTCCAAAGTAGCCTATTAGTCATCAAAAACCAAACAAATTCTTCAAATTGAAGACAACTCCATTATATATCCAATTTTTTTTATTTTTTAAATTTAAAACGTATTGAAAACATTTTTTCTTTGATTTTTAAAATTATTCAACAAATTTGTAGTTTAGATTATTTAACTAAAGCATAAATTTATTTTTAAATTTATTTTATTTTTAAAATCGTCAAAAAACAAAACATTAATTTAAAAATTAAAACAAAAATATTAATTCTGTAGCTACAATTTTCAAAAAAATTTTGTCAATTTTTTTATCAACCCAAAAAAAAATTTTTTTTTTATTTGACCGATTAAGTTTTCGAACGAAAAACAGAAATTATTCTCGGCATTTTTGTCTTTCATGCTTACTATGCCGACCTTTTCTGCAGCTTATTTTTCTATTTTTACAATCTATTTAGGTACCTATTTTTAAGTTTTTCACAACCTAAAAATCCGGTTTCTAATTATTTTGGATAAAAAATCTGTTGGGAGAGTTAGGGTTCAACGTAACTTTAAAATTTTTAATATTTTATTTGTAAATAATAAAGTTATTTTCAGACAATTAATAATTCGTAATTAATTTCAATATTTAAATTTAATTTTTAATTAAAAAATATTTTTTTTAATTAAATCCAAAAAAATCAATTCTCTTTAATTTTTTTCCTTTGAAAATTTTAATTTGCCCTTTAAGCCTTTAAAATCGATAAATTAAAAACCTTCTCCCTTCCCTCTCCTTTTTTAAAAAATTTAAATAAACAATTAGGCGTCAACATATTTTGGCGCGAGTGTCTATGTATTTATAAAAAAATTTTTTAATCAAATATTGTAACATTAAAAAATAGTTTAGTAAACTTAATAAAAAATTAAACACTCAAAATACTCATTCAAAAAGCTTCCCGATATCCCTCCAAAAACGAATCTCTCTTAACCCCCCATCCATTCACATTAATCCCACAATCATCCACATCCAACAATAATCCCACCATTTAATCCCGCAAATCTCATACATACAAATTCCCCGATTTCCCCCAAACCTACTGCTATCCTTTTAATCCGGCCAAATCTGCCGATTTCACCCTTAATCTTCCAAATCCTCGATATCTTTTTTAATCCCCACACAAAAAATATAAAAATTTTTGGCAGCGGGAGGTTGGGTAGGAGATCACGGATTTGTTCACTGACAGAATGTCCGGGAGCCATTAATCGAAAGGAAGTGCTAGGTAATCGAAGACGGGATTCTTTAAAAAAATTCCAGCTTTGAAGTCATCAGATTTTTAAATTAAAAAAAATATTTTTAAACATAATTAAATTCTAATATTATTTATTTCTATAATTTTATGTAACATAAATTTTACATTGAAAATAGTATACATACTCTCCTCTACTCCCTCCCCCCTACTCCCTTCCTCCCAAATATTTTTAAAATTAAAAAAATTTTTTCCTATCATGCCCTCTCTTAACAGAGACACTCACCCTTGACCGTTATTCACTTTTTAGAAAGAACAACTTCTCTCTCTCTCTCTCTCTCTCTCTTTCTATTTTTAGTAGAGTACAACCTTACGACCTTCTTCACCTCATGCTCCTTTGAATTAAAAAAATTAAAAATCAATGCTAATAATTTAAAAATTATTTTTTAAAATTGATTTTCTCCTTACTTATTCTATCCTTTAAAATTTTCCTCGAGTTTTCCTCTCTTTCTCTAACACATCTTTTTCAATTAAAATTTTAAAATCCAGCGTTGTCAATGGCTAGGCGAGAGAATTTAAGAGAAACACAGTCTAATAAATTTAAATGGAAAGTTGCCAAAAAAATTTATTGGGGAGGAAGGGAGGGCCTGTCCATTGCCTAGCCAGGAGGGGAAGGCCTAGCTATTAAAAAAATTTTTTTGGGGGAGAAAGGGAGGGGCATAAAGTTATATATAATCCCCCATTTTAATTGCCAATGCCATTCATAATTTATAAATTTATTTTTTTAATTTTTTAAGTTTTTAAAATATTTTATATATTTCAAAACAAATTTTAGACAATAATTAGAAAAAATTTTCTATTAAAATTTTCCCTTTTTTACCTTTTTCTACTTTTTTCTACTAAAAAAGAATAATTATCTAATATATTACCGTATATCCTTTACTACCTACCTCTGGGTAATTTGTGTTTCGATCTTCCACAGGAGGGAGTGATTAATCGAGAGAGGGTAATTATACGATTTTGAAATTTGAACGTGTTTTAGGGCATTTGTTGGGGGGTAATTATTATTTCAATCCATCGCCGGATGGGGTAATTAATGGAAGTTGGGTAATTATCTGAGAGAGGGCAATTAATACAGGTTATACGATAAAAAAACAACAGAAGGTCCTTAAAAAAATTTTTTTGTAAATTCCCCAGGAAGAGAGTAAAAAATTTCCAAATACTGACAAACAAGTGTGTATATTTAAAACACAGATTTTATTTAAATTTTTTAACAAAAATTTTTTTTTAATTTTTAGATAAAAAACGAGGGGAAATTTTTTGAAGAAAATTATGAATTTTCTTCAAAAACCCTTTCGTTATTTAACAATTATTTTTGTTTTTATTTTTGTGGGTCAATTTATTTGTGTTTTGGGAAAATTAAATTTTGAAGAAGAATTGGGAAATTTGGAACGTTTTTTAGATCAAATTGGAGAAATTAAAATTGAAAATTTTGAAAAATTTAAAGAAAAATTGCCTGACGGAAAATATATAAATTTAAATATTTTGAAAGGATTTGAAAAAAGTGTTGATAAGGTATAAATATCATTAAAAAAGATTTTAATGATTATTTAAAAAATTTTTATGGGATTGCTCCTAAGAGATTTCCTAAACAAACTGCCGGCATTCCATTTATTTTTTATTGTTATGAGGCCACTTGTGAAAAGTTTCTCCCAAACTTTCAAATTTAATAAATTTAAAATGAAAACCAGAAAATTCTGTTAGGTTTGTTGTAAAAATAACAACTGTTCTTTTTCGTCTAAAAGATTTTAGGGAATCAATTGGGAAATAATAATTTGGGAAACTTAAAATGATATGTAGTACAAAGATTAAATTAATTAAAAAAGGCATTCGATACAAGAAAAGTTTTCTCTCAATTTCATACGTTTTGCCAAATTTATATCCAAGAAACCAAGAGACCTTTTCCAAATCACCAAAAAGGGCAGAATTCGTACTCTTGATAAGTGTACCAAGGGTACCCAGAATTTTGAAGCAATAGTTGGAGCGTGGGTGCTTTCTCCTTTCATAATCTGCCCCGTTTAATATTATTTTAAGGAAATTAAAACATCTACAACTATGTAAATGAAATATTTTTTTCTAAAAATGAAAATTAGCATAAAAATAAAGATTTAAATTTATTAGACTTTTTAACAATAAATAAATTTCTATATTAAATTTATTTATTTATTTATTTAGAGCTCCAAATCTGATTTTCATATGTTAAAATCTATTAGTTATATTTATAAATACTGTCATTATTTGAAAAATCAAGACCCAAATTCTAAAGAGTACAAAGAAAATTGTGAATATAAAATTAATATATTGAATGAAAAAGTTAAAGTGTTAGGGATTGAATATGACGAAAAAACTGAAATTAAGAAAGGTTTTGAAACAATCAAATCAAATTTTCTTTTAATTATAAATAGAATTGGAAGTATTAATTTTGAAATTTTTAATGAAATTAAGGATAGATTGCCTGAAAGGAAATATATAAATTCGGATATATTGGAGGGATTGAAGAGTGTTGATGAGGTAGAAACATAAATTAAAAATTTAATTTTCTGACCTATTTTCTTGTATTTTTGCAGAGCTTTAAAGTTGATTTTAAAAAATTAAAAGAAATAATTGGCCATTATGAAAGATGCAAAAAAGTTATAGATAACAACAACCAGATGAGTAATTACGAAGGAGGAAATGAGAGATTTACAAATTTCATAAAATTTTGTGAAGAAGAGTTTCTTCCATCTAGCAAAAATTTATTTAGAAATTCTGGTATTGAATATAAAGTAAAGGAAGGAAAAAAAATAGAAGTAATTATACCATCTATCCACACAAATTATAATATAATGATAAATGAATTAAATAAAAATATGTCGGAATTTAACCGAGAAAGTATTCAAAAAATAAAAGGAAAATTGCCCGAAGGAAAATATATAAATCCTGAAAATTTGGAGATATTTGAGGTTTTTAATTGTTAATATTTAATTATATTTATCTTAAACCAGGAGGTCGCAGGATCGAAGCCTGCCCGGGATTGAACTTTTATCTCGCTCTTACTATAATTATAGCCAAAGTTGAGATCCTGAGACCTCAAATACCTATATATGAATTTCCAGTCAAGGTCTTTGGATCTTGATTTTAGCTCGACTAGGAATGAGATTCAATTGTATGTATATAACAAAAAATTTCTTTTAAAACTTGCAAATTTAATTAAAAAGGGAAGTATATATACAAATAAATTTGAATTTAAAAATAATAAAAACTCAAAAAATTTATTAACATTTCAGAGTTATTTCGATACTTTTGATAAATTAGAAAAAAGTATTGAAATATATGAAGCATGTTTTGATGGTCATGAAAATACTTGCGAAGAAGTTAAGAAGAAAGTAAATAAAATGTTTGGATTGTTAGGTCTTGAATATAAGAAAAAAGAGGTTTTGTTTTTACATGTTATTAACAAAATTCAAAAATATACATATTTTTAAAAGATTTATTTTTTAATTTTTAAAGAAAATTGAATATTTTTATTTTTATAAAGGAAACTTTTACAAAAATAAAGAATCGTGTAAAAAAGGCATTCGGTGGAATTTTTCATAAAGGAGAGGTAAGGGATATTTAATAAAGAATATTTAATTGAAGGAATTAACATTCATTTATATATTTATTTATTTAAAGGCTTCCGGAGTTAAGAAAGGACCAAACAATGGGAAATATATAGAATTGCAGGAACCTCTTCTTGAACACGGTTCTGATGATGAAAAAGTTTGAAGAGAGGAAGTTGAAATGAAAGGAAGAGGAGTTGAAAAAAGAAAAGTAAAAAATTTGTAAAAATTGTGTAAAAAGGGGGAAGGGGGGGGGGAATGATTACATTCAACAATAGTAGAAAGAAATTATTTACTTTTAAAATTAGCTTGGGAGTCGGCTCTATCCGGAAAAACATTTGAGAAGTGTTGGGCTAAACATCAAATACCCAACCATTGTTTGAGATAACTATCAGAATGCATAATGCTAGTTTTTATAAGAATAACCCTATGAAAAAAAAGAGGTAAACAAAAACTGGCAATCTTACCAAAAGATTTATCAAAAGCTGAGGTTGAATGTAATCGGCAAAGAATTCCCCCTCCCATTCAACATGTAAATATCCCCCTCAAAAGTAGCTTATTAGTCATCAAAAACCAAACAAAGTCTTCAAATTGAAGACAACTCCATTATATATCCAAATTTCATTTTTTAAATTTAAAACATTCTGAAAATATTTTTTTTTCGATTTTTAAAATTATTCAACAAATTTGTAGTTTAGATTATTTAAACAAAAGCATAAATTTATTTTTAAATTTATTTTAATTATTAAATTATTCCAAAAACAAAACATTAATTCAAAAATTTGAGGAAATTCCGGAAATGTTTATAAAATTAAAATAAAAAAATTAATTTTGAAATCTTTCCATAATTATTTAACAATTATTTATTCTTGAAGCCTTTCAAGAATAATTTTATTCTGAAACTTTTTATAAAAATTAAATTAAATTAATTATTCATGCTCCTTTTTAAAAATATTTTTATTTGCTATTTTCAATTAATTTAATTACTTAATTTAATTTTAAAAATTAAATTTAAAAATCAATTATTAATTTTAAAACAAAGAAAAAAATTTTTTAATTAATTTTATACGATCTTGAACGATTTTGTATTTTCTTTAAAAATTTTACCTCGGGTTTTCCTTCTCCCTTTCTTTATCCCCCCCCCCTCCTTTAATTAAGTTGTTTAAAAATTATGCGCCGTCATTGTCTAGACGAGAGAATTTAAAAAAAAAGACAGTTTAAATTAATAAATTTAGGTGGAAAGTTGACAAAAAAATTTTTGGAGAAAAGGGGAGGAGGGGATGTGCAGAAGGAAGGGGAAGATGAAAAGTAAAAAGTTTTATAAAAATTTTAAATATGTATTTTTTATTTTATTTTTTAAAGCATCGTGGGGCATTTTTGGAATGACCAAAACACGGAATATTTTTAAAATCATTTTTTTAATCAGAATTTATTTAAATCAGAATATTTAAAAAACAGAATTTAAAATTTTAAAAATGTTCAGATTTTTAAAAATAAGAATATTTCTAAAAAATCAGAACATTTTTTAAAATCAGAATTTTTTAGAAATAAGCAGTTAAAAATAATCCTTAAAAATTTTTAAAATATTCTCTGGAACGTGTTTTGATCGTTCCGTGATTTGGCCATTCCGTGTTTCGGTGAGACCTTGTTTTGTCTTGTCCGTGTTTTGGTATGGTCCGTATTTTGGTCGTTTCGTGTTTTGGTCCTCACCCCCGCCAATTAACCATTCCAACTTTTTCTCCCCACTTCTTTAATTTTAGTAAGAATTGTCAAAACTTGTAAATTAAGTTAACTCCTCTCCCATTCCCCTCATTAACTAACAGAAGAATCCTCTTCAATTTGTTCCCAACATATTTTTGCTTTTGAATGTCAAAATTCAAGTTGTTGTGCTTCTTATCATCAACGATTTTTAATGCTTTTATTTTCAATTTTTATTTTTATAATTGCTTTAATTGTTTTTATTTTTATGATTATTTCTGTTCAATGGAGACCTTTGAGACAAAGGTAAAAATATTTAATTAATTAAAATATCAGAATTACTAATTTCTGCAAAAGTTTTCAGAATTATTTTATAATTGTTTATTTCCGGAACAAGTTTACAATAAAATTAAATTCTGATTTTTTTCAGAATTGTTTTCCGGAAAAGTTTTTAAAATAATTATAGTTTCCGGAAGAATTTTCAGAATTATTTTAAAGATAAATTCTGACCTATTTTAAGAATTGTTTTCCAGAAAAATAGTAAATCAGCTGAGCTACGTCGTAATCAAATATTTTTTTCGTAATCGTAATTCGTAAATCGAAATTTTAAAAAAATTTCGTAATTGTAATTCGTAGTTCAAAAAATGCCGTAATTCGTAATTCGACGCAACCCTGTAAAGCAGCTGGGCTATAGCTATTTCTCTCCTTTAGCTAATTCAAAGGTAATTCGGCGGCTGTGAGCGAAGGGACATCAGTCCTGTCTTCAGTAGACCGGACTAATGTGTTATCCATTACACCACGCCGCCTACTGCATAGCTTTAGGATTTAAAAAAAAACAAAAATAAATTCTGATTTAAATTTTCAGAAGAGAAAAAAGAATATCAGAAGTTGAATTAAAAAGTTTCGAAGAAACAAAATATTTGAGAAGAATGTCTGAATTAAATAATTAATTAAAAATATTTTTAATTTTTTTTTTAAATTTTAGACCAAATATAAGACGAGAAACAGGCGAATAAGAATAAAAGAATTTAACTAAAAAAGTATTTTTTAAAATTTTTTAAACAATTTTTAAATCTTTTCTTGTTTTAATAAAGAAATTTTAAGAAATATTTTTTTCGATTCAAAAGGCTGCCCGATATCCCTCCAAAAACGAATCTCTCTTAACCCATCCATTCGCATTAATCCCAAGATAATCATCCAAATCCAACAATAATATGCCCTTCAATCCTTCTTAATCCCATTAATCCTCCGATATCTCCTCAATCAATCATGAGGAATCATCTTCCCAGATTATGGGTCTCTTAATCTCAAATCACTTTTCTGCGCCGCAGGCAAAAATTGTGAGAATTTTGGAAAGCCTTAGGAGAAAGAATTCAATTTTAGAACCGGAGGTTTTAAGATATTACTTCAATTTTAGAGGTAATTCTTTGGTTGTCGCCCCCCCTTGTTTTATGTTCTATTTTTTACATTTTCCATGAAATTTCTAAGAACTTTTATATACATTCGAAAGAGGACTTCAAGCTGAGTCGAACAGCACTAGAATCGTAGAAATCTGAATTAAATCAACATAGTTATGAGCAATTGTTTTAATCCCTTTCAACATCACAAAAACATGTCCACAAAGGATTTATTTTTAATAATTTTGTTCAAAATTGCCAAATCTAACCGATCATAGTACTAATCAACTCAGCTCGGATAGCTCTTTCGAATGATATATAAATTATTATATGTCAAAGCAAAAAAGCTCAAAATGGTCAGGGAAGCATAAAAAGGGGGGGGGGGGCGACAACCGAAGAATTACCATTTTAGATATTAAAAAAATAAATTTACTAATTTAAAACCAAAGTTTAAAAACATTTATTTTTGCAAAATATTTCCCAATCATGGATTCGAACCAAACCAAAAAGATATTAAAGCGAATGAAGCCCGACTTCTAAACCATTCAACCACGGGTCAACAAAACAAAACCAATAAGAAAATATAAATATTTTTACCCTTTTCCTTAAAAAATTTACTAGCAAAGTGCAAGTAATTTTTATTTTTTATTCTCGTAATTTTTCCCGACATTTTCGGAATCGTAATTCGTAATTCAAAAAAATTTTTGTAATCGTAATTCGTAATTACGACGCAACTCTATTGGAGGGGCCTAGCCATTGACAACGCTAAATTAAAAAAA